CAAAGACGGTGTCACAGGAAAGCCCTGAGGCTGTCACTCATCCAAACTCCTCATCCTGGTCGTCCGGAGCTTTCTTGTTGTGAGTTCCCTTTGTCCCAGCCCAGACTCCATCAYGTTCTGCCTTTACCTCCTTGCTCTGCCTGTTGCCATCCTCCCTCTTGGCTCTTGGACTGCGCTCCTGGCCATGCTCTCAGCTGCCACGGGGCTGTGATCACCTCCAAAAGATCACGGTCCTGGCATGGGATGTCCTGCTTGGAGCACGGCTGCTCTTCTCCACCCAAGGAGCCATTCACTAGTTGAGCTTGAGTGGCTCAGCTGCAGGCTTGGGTCTTTTAAGACAATAACACAGCTACGGTGCTGCTAATTAGCAGAGACTGGGTACGAGGTGGCGGCATGAGCCAGTCCCCTCGCTTTGGGRACTGCTCTTGCACAGCCGAAGGCCACAGCGGGTGGAGGACAGCCCAGGGTGGGCTGAAGAGCAATGGGAAGGGGAGTCCAGAGAAGCCTTCATTTCCCACCCACCCTCTCTTGGAGAAACGCTGGCCTCTGTCCTGTGGTGTTAATTTGGGGTTTCAGCTAATTGCTAGCTCGAGTTACTCGGTGTAACCAGAGCCCTGCTACCTGCACACCCCTCGGGCGACCTGGCCTCAGCGGTCAGCCAAGCACGTAGCAGGGAAGCACTTTCTCACTTAAGTTTTAGGCAAGAGTAAGAGTCCTCCAAACAGAGCTCGAGTTGCCCGGAGCAGGAGTTCAGCCCTTGGACACAGCTTGCTCTCCGCTTCCTCTCACTTAAGCRAAGTGAAATGCATGAGGGGTCATTMATTTTAGATAACRATGCATATTGCTGCACTTGATGCTCCAACAGGACCTCAGCATCTCCAGGGGGCCTTTCTATGGGCCAGCTCTCCCAGACAGGACTGCTGGTTTGAGGGCAGGGCCTCCATGGGCAAGGAGGGCTGATGCCCTCCTGGTTGGCTTCTCTCTGCCCATAGGCTGCTCACAAGGGCATTTCCATTTTCCCACCCAGCAGACATCYATGTTCCTCGCCCTGCAGCTTTGGAGAGGACCTAAGGGACCACTTGCACGGCACCTCTTTTAAGGCTCCCTTCTTTAATGGTCATTTGCCTCCTGCAGTAAAAGTCAACACGTCGCTAGAAGGAAGTCGAAGAGGAAGAAGGATCAGGCGCCACCAGAGTCCTGACAGAGACATCACTATGCATGAGTTCTGTGGTAATTCTGTGATAATTATCAATTATTTCCATTTTCCCAGCACGACACCAGCATTAGTACTGTTCCCCAGCCTCCGTGGCTCTTTGGGAGTGCCCTCAAGGACCGTCTTTGCATTTGACTGAACAAGATGTTCTCGTTTGAGGAAGCTCGACAGTACTTTTCACCGTTTTCCACCCATCCTCCTAAACCATACCAGTCAAGTGAGGAGGACAGCTTCACTTCCAGCCACTGTGGGTAGGGTGCATTTTCCTGGCTCATATTACACATGAGGAGAACGTGCTCCTCAYTCTGCGTCAGCTTGTCGCGAGGCAAGCCCAGCTCTTCACATCAAAGAGACACTGCTTGGTGGCATAGCAGCATGAGGAGATGCACAAATGCAGTATCCCAGAGCAAACTGTGTGATGTTTCTTGGAGAAATCAAAGCCACCTGACATGCCAGCAGTGTCCCTGCCTCTGACACACAGTCAGGAGCTGGTGCCCACTTTATGCATGTGCAAGCACATGATGAATTTATGCACATGCACTCATTTAACTGATGCACGAGCACCTCCCTACTTCATGCCCGAGTGTCCCACTAGTCAACACAGAGGCTCAGAGCAGAGGAAACCCAGTAAGAAGCCTGGAGAAGTGAAGGACAAATCATTACACACAGGAGCTGTGAGCAGCACAAACCCCAAAGCAGAAGCAGCCATACCTGATGTCACTGCTCAAAGCCAGAGCCTTCACTTTCTGCAGAGAAGATGCCACCAAGATCCCATCACATCAGCCTCTTCTCACACTCCTGGGTTATGGGGTGAAAAGTGTTAGGGCACATTGGAAGCAGAGCCTGGCTTTGCTACTGCTCTTGTTACCAGTCATGCAACGGAGGCTTCCTTATCATTCCTGCTCTTTTTAAATGGTTTAATTAAAAKGGCTTCCTCGCCACCATAGCAGTTTGTCTTAAACATAGATAAAAATCTATAAATCCCAGAGTCTGGATTTCTTTCCAGGACTGCTTAGCCTTTTAAGATGGAGCTTTTAGGAGAACAAGACAGACCATGTTACCAGGTAATGTCACCATCACTTCTAGTGGTCTCCAATCCCAGCCAGCCCTATCCAGAGGAAGTCCTAGTCTTTCCCCACTGCTCCAATACTGCATTTTATCTGATGCYCAGGCAAAGACCTTTGCTGGAGGCAAAGTTCCCAGTGGGGAAGCCCATTACATGGTCCTAAACTTCATGCATGCTCTTGCTGGGATTCTGGCTCTGCTGGGAATAGGGTTGAGATCCCAGGTTATTTCAGCATTTTTTCCCATATGTTCAGCCCATGCATGAGTCATGCCCTGGCCTGCGACTCTTTGCTGAGATGTCCTTGCCAGCATGTTGAGCTAATCTCCCGACAAGGCTGTCCTGGCTCTGTGCAGACAAAATAAATATTTAGCTGCAAAACATCTAACAGTTTTCAGAAGGAATGGCCTGGTGGTGGCTTAAGCATGTTTAGATTCTGTGCACAGCAAAGGCTGCAGAGCCCTTTAATCATTGCCTATGTATTTTTTGCTTTTATCTGCAGATCTTYACAGCCCTCCAAGAAGGTGCTATTCCTGTTCATCTCCGTTTCACAGATAAAGACATGGCAACACAGCAGGAAGAGATGGATTTGCTCCAAATGGGAAAAATATGAGTGCTGGAAGCTCATTTCAACTCCGAGGCTCTGGTGCAATGCCTTGGGAAGGGGCAAGGCACGGGGAGGACTTGTTTGCATCACTGGTAGGGACGGTGATGGTGCCACTTGCCCAACTGGGCTCCCTCCTCTTGGCATCTTGCCCTCAGGCTGCACTGCCCTTGCACTTGCTACGCCCACCCCTCTGGCTGGGGTGCTGCAAYGGTCTGGCTGCGGCGCATTTCAGATTAAAGGCCAAGCTGCTTTATGCTCTGGTGCTTTGCATCATATTGTAACATCTCTCCTCCATGGCAGACTTTTTTTAAAATTCTTTCATTGGTAGTTTCATATAATTAGTACCGAGGGTAACATCAAGCTAAGAACAAATTAGGTCATAACGCAACATCTCCTTGCCTGGGTGCTCTGCCTTGCAGGGCCTGTCAGGAGATGCTCGTGACCATGCTCTTCGTGGCCTCCGTGCCCAAACTATCTAGCAAAGAGCATCACAAGAGGCAGCAACGTGTCCCAGGGCTGCAGGCAGCCCAGGCTTGAGGAGCACTTGGCTGGTGCACGGTGTCCAGGAGGAACCTGCCCTAGTCCAGGATCTCCTTGGCTCTTGGGGCAGCCAAGCAGAGGGCAGCTGAGCCTTCCCAACCCAGACAGTTTTGCTCATTGAGAGGTAGGTGTGGAAAATACCCAGCTGGAAGTAGGGGGAAAATGGTCCTTGTGCAGGACAGGGTCTCAACACAGCTTGAAGTCCATCTCTCCCCATTTCACAGCTGAACAGAGACACCAAAAAGGTCACCAAAACCTCTCCTCTGATAGGAGAGACTTGCACATGGCCAAGATCTCCATGTGGACATTCTCYCCTTGGGCAACGAGGAACCATTCTGCCTATCCAGCACCAGGGGACATTTCTCCAGCACTTTCCAGGTCCTGTGTTTCATAGAAAGACACCAAGCATTAATGCTCAATTCCAGTCCCAGGGCAGTGGACACCCTCTGGCCAGTGTGGTCCCAGGAACCATTTCATGTCTGGCTTTCCCAGCCCCAGCCTTCTTCCCACCCTACGTGGAGAGGAGACAGTCGGGGCAACTCAGCCCAACCTCTGTCAGTCTGCAGAGCCACAATGGTGAGTCCCTGACCACTGCAAGATGCAACATATGTCTTTGGTTGTCCCCAGAATCCAGAGTGTGAGGATCTTGGGCCAGGTCATTAGAGACACATAGGCATTGGCCAAGGCACAGAACTGCATTTTCACAAGTGGAATTGACATTTCAGGCTTAGGGTTCGAAATCCCCACTGCTTTCCAAGAAACTTTAAATCCTTTAAAATTCACCCAAATCCTATAATCAGTCATGGAAACAAAGAGCCTTAGACAATTTCCACCCGCCCCCCCTTCCTAAAAAAGTTCAGTTTCTGGCTTCATAAAACAGCTTTGTCAAAAGAAGGATCTGTTATGGGACAGGGAGGGTGGGGAGTGGAAATACAACATCACTGGTATTTTGGGTTTTCAAAAATAAACAGAAATGAGGTATTTCTGCTTGGAGAGAGAGAGAGAGAGGGCTAGTTAAAAATAGTGCATTATGAACTAGAAGGGGAAAGTTCACACTCCCCTTCTTTCATTCCCATTTTCCTCTGGCGAGAAGAGGCAGAGTGCCAATATGTTTAGGCTGCAGACACAGGGGCTTGCGCTGGCTCGGCCGGGGGGAGCTGCCGGGGGCTTGAGGTCTGCAAAGGACTCCAGACTTTTCCACGACATTCCTCAGAGCCAGATCCCTGCAGTGGGGATCACCCACACTAAACCATCTCCTTATCCTTCCCTGGATGGTCCTTGCTGACCAGTCCAGGTCCAACAAAACACCCAAGGAGCAACCTCYTTTCTGCAAGGGACTTGACCAGCACCCTGGTCCCTCTGTTCCCAGCTGCTTAAGGAAGAGCCTTGCCCTTCATGTCCTAAGTGCTGGATGTCCTCAGAAACCRGGAGGGATATAAAGCATCTCACCCCTAACTTCAGGGGACACAAGAAGTCTTGACTGACACAAGAGGCCTCGAGTCCTCCAGAAAACAGAGAGGTGAGAAACACTGCTTCGCCCCAAAGGTTCTTTGCAACTAGCTTAGATATCAGTTGCACCTTGTAGCATAATTTCTAGGAGTATGTCGAGGACTGGATCTCACCTGGCTTGCAGGCAGATCGGGAATCACACAGACCTGCTGTTATCCACTATGGGCCCACGAGTGCAGGCACTGACAGAGCAACAAACTTCACAGAGAGAAATCAGCGGGAAAGAAAATAAAACAAAAAACAAGGCAGAAACCCAGAGCTTGTATTGTCCTGTGCTGGAAAGAAAATACATCTTCTGTTTTTAGRGTCAGGAACACTACCACAGGCTGAAATAGGCTGAAGACTGTGGTAACTGCATGAAGGGATTCGACCACCCCACCACCAGYGTCCCCTGGGATGTTAAACCTCAGGGTTGAGGTCACAGAGCAAGTCTCAGCTGCCCAGCTCTTAGTTATCCAACACACTTGCCGCAATGTCACCACGTCAGATGTCTCAGGCCACCATGGCCGATGGGTCTGGGGTTTCTGGTGCAGTCAGCGGTCGCTTGCAGTGTCTCCATATGACGAGTCCCAGCCGGAGAGCAAAAATAGTGCAGGTCACTGCCAGGAGCACAACTAGGAGGAAACACGGGGCTCGTCAGCACCTCTGCCATGTGCTGCCTCCTGCTACACAGGCACTTGAGAAATGGATAGAGCTCCATACAGGAGCTGCTCTTCCCCCATCAGGAATAGACATAGGGAGCTGCTGTGGGGCAAGGCAGGAGATCATCATTTTACTGCTATCCAGTAAAACCTGTCCAATGCTTCCAGGTCAAGGCATGTCTACAGCAGGACCCAGAAATAAAGATGCGCTACATCGAGAAAACAACCCAAGAATAGTTAAAGCTATATAAGGAAACACGTACTAGTTGTGGATAAAGCTCATTCTCGCCCTACCAGCCAAACAAGCTGAACCAGCAAGAATGAAGCTTTGCTGGGGCAAGTGCTGCAGAAGCCCTGACAGTATCGGCACGTCTGTCAGAAGCCTCACACACCTTCACACTCTCCATGGCCACAACCTTCAGGACAGGAGTCCTCAGCAGCCTCCTGGCTTTGGCAGACAAGCTCAGGTCAATACTGGCAAGTGCTTTGGGGCATCATTTGCTTTCAGGTTCAGGACAGGAGCTACAGGCAGGGGATCCTTGTGCTCATAGRACATGTGCCCAGGAACAGCAGGGTAATGTTTGATTGCAAATTGAAAGAATTTCAATTCATTCAATGAAAATTTCAATACCCAAAGGGAAGCACCTTTGCAAAATTAATAGCTTCTAATAAAGCCCAAGCTCAGCCTTTTCTGCAGAGGATACTCTTCTGAAAAGGGAAGTCTGTCCCTGTTCATGGCACACAGGAAAGGTGTAGAAGCACCTGTTGGTTCTTTTACAAAAGCTGTTAACAGGCCAGAGGATTTACCTATGAAAATGCCGTTGGTTGTTGGGGCTGAAAGCGAGAAGTTCTTGCAGGCGCTGCCAGTCAGTGCTACGATGACCACTGGGTAGACCGTGAGGTTGTAACGGACGTACTTGTCAAGAAACACGTTTTCTAGATAAAACCTGGGAGAAAGGACCAAAGTAAGCAATTTCTGTGTAGTTTTTCCTTAGAAAATTTAAGAAAAGAATTGGAATATGAATGTTTTCTTGCAGGCCAGATCAGACTACAATCTAAAACTGTTCATTTGCCAAAATAAGATGTTTAAGAAGTTATCTATAGGAAGTTTGATTTACATTTCCCTGGGAGGGAGCCAGGGAAGRGGGTTAAGACTTGAAGAGAAATGATTGTGATAAATTCAAAATTAAAAAAACTTCCTGCTTCTTCCAGGTAAAGGATTAGCCATGGAGAAAGGCTCTTAGTTGCCTGATATAATGCTCTACAGGGTAGTTAGGCAACAAATCAATTTATGTGCTTTTGAGAGAAAGTTTGTATTCTTCAAGAAGAAACAAAAAACTTTTAGTAGAGAAGCAAACTTATTTTGACAAAGAAGATAGTCACAAAACAATCTTCTGAGGATAAATTCAGCAGTTTGTTGGAGACTCCAGTCGAACTGCAGCTCCTCTGGTGTAGCTAAGAGGCTGCAGAGAGGATTTGGGCAACCTTGGCACAAATGCCCACCTGCAAGCCTAGGACAAGTGGTKTTCATGGAAGCCACCAAAGTTTGCTCCCTGTGCACAGCCCATGTCCACGGCCTGTTGAGGGCCTGGGAGGAAGCACTTTGCCCAGGCTCTGCATTCATCCCTTATGGACCACAGAACCCAGCAGTGATACTGTGACACAGGCCATTAATTTAATGGGCTGCAGAGAGGCCAGGGTGCTTGTGACATGAAGGAGCAGAAGGGCTTTTCTTTGAGACCCGGAGGGAACCCATGGAACCACTTACCATATCACTACATCAAGAGCAAGGATGCACAGAGAGACAGTGGTTGCCGTCTCGTTGGACACGCCCCACTTGTAGATCAGCACAACGGCAAAATTCAGCAGGGTGGCTATGGTGGTCCACGTGGCATAGAGCACCAGCCCGTTCTGCACCTACCATGCAGCACAGACAAAAGGCGATAAAGGAATCCCACTTTTCCTTGGAAAAAGCAGGAAACATCCATAACTCCTGGGGCAGTTGAAGCAGACTTGGATCTAGCTGCAGGGAGAGCTGCTAAGAGGCAAGAGCTGAAGTATTGGATTCCCAAAATACTAGACCCACCCMAGTAGCAACTGCAGGACTGCCCGCATGAAGCCCACAGCCTTGGCAAGGGCATCCCGTGCTTGCCCCAAAAGTACAGAAGCTGCCTGGGTGTCCAGCCCAGTCACTGCAAGTTGCCAAAACCAGAGAGAGGAGCACTCGTATCTCCCTAGCTCCCAGCAAAAGGCTTCTCTCATGGAGCCCACTGCAAGCAAGACCAAGAGCTGGAGCTGCTGCTGAATGAGGATGGAGACACAGCTGCACCAGATTCCCTGCCTCCGTGTTACACTTGCGCCTCCGGGACCRAGGCAGAGAACACCCCTCTCCATGCCCATTTTGTGCCAGGAGAGGCATTCAGAGACTCCTGCAGCAGAACTGATGGGAATCTTTATCCAGAGGAATTCCCTTTGCAGAGTTCTGCAGCCTCCCCCTCCATCAAGGACCCTCCCAGCATCTTGGATGTGCTTTTTTCAGCTGACCCACTTTCTCACTGAGCAGCACCAGCATCAAGCAAAGGAGCTAAAGGGGGTCAAACCACATACAGCCGCCAAGGGAGGAACTGCAGCACAAGGTTTTCTGCATGGGGAGAGGAAGGATCAGGCAGCAGCTTTGAGCTGGAGCCCAGGGAGGGTGCCAGGAACAGTRAAGTGTGTTTATTATGTCCTACAGTCTGCTGATCATGAACAGCCGCTGTTTTAGGGCAAAGTGACTTCTCCTATCCCTGATAATTAAGGAGAATGGGATCACCAGTGGMCCTCCCACCCCCCAGCACTGCACAACCGCTGCCCTTTCAGCTTTCTCCAAAGCACAGGGTCTGCAAGGCCACCTACGAGGACGCGGATGAGCCAGAGCTCGGCTTGGTGGCTCTTGGCAAACCACGTGGCGTGCACRCACAGGGCGCCGTGGGAAATGAAGGCAGCAGCACACGTGGACGCAGTGAGGGCTGCCAGGACCACCAGGGCTGGCAGCAGGTACCTAGGGCGAAGAACACGCAGCGTCAGCGCGGCGCTTCACTCGTGCCACGCCGCCTCACAGCTTCRGTGTTTGGCCTTTGCTGGCTTAACCTGCCTTTAATAAAGCTAATCACTGCATGGAGCCCTTATTTTGACATCCTCGGCTAATGGTGAAATTATTTCCCTGACTGCAGCTGATTTCCACACCGATGGAGGTGCTATTATGTGCCCTTCACGTGACCATGTTTATGAAAACAGTCCCATGGCAAAGAGCTTCATCTTTACAAAGAGCAACATGGCTCCTGTTTTACCTATAGAAAAAAATAGCATCAGAACTGCTGTTCTTTGGTATCTTAGATTTCAATAACCATCTCCCTCTTGCCCATGAGGTGGGGATCACTGCATAAAAACCATCCAATTCCTATAAAAGTCACCATCTCTCAAAGCTTGCCATAGTTTCACACTAAGGGTGCTCACACGAGGGAAAAAGGTGCAACAAAGTACTGGGGCAGTCCCAGCAAGAGGGCTRGGAACGGGTGAGTGCAACGAAGACGACTTACTCACGGTCCCACAGGAACAGCCATCCCACGTTCAGGCCATTATTTAATATCCAGGCCACGTAAAAAGGTATTGGCAGCAAGTTTGGCTCAAGGTAGACRCATCCAAGTTCATTCCTGCCAGGGAAAAGTGGGGATGGAGGAAGAAAATAAGCAATGCACAAACATTCCTGACCTCATCTACTTCCTGAGAATGGGAATCTACATTTAAGCTAAGTATTTGAGCTTAAATCAGATTATTTCTTCCTTTAGCTTGGCTGATTTCAATGATCTCAGGGTGATCATGGAGCTTCTACATGACATGAAAAAAAAGCAAATGCAAGAGACTAAATCAAGCAGTATGTAGCCCCCACCCTTGAGCAAAAACTGCAAAATAAGTTTATCCCTCAGAAATTATCAGAGAATCTCACTGAAATTGCACAACACAGCTTGAGGCAGCAATATTACCAGCCCCACAGCCCCAGGGAAGGATCTAAGCCTAGTTCTACAACACAGGAGATTTTCCAGTGCAAATTCCAACACTGAATGGAGCATCACTTCAGCAAGGGGCAGCCTCAGGATCTGGGAGTCTTGCCCCATGGACTCGCTATACTCAGCAGGGAGAAAGCAGCTACTGCATAACCTGCCAGTGCAGTCAGACTCCACAAAACTGGTCACCTGCTTTGTGACCTGTCCAGGAATGACAGCAAATACCTCATATACACCATTTCCAGCCCTGGATGCTGAAGCTGAAGGAYGTTCCAGCAGCAGAGCTTCAGCAAGGTGAGGAACTGCAGGGGTTTATGCTGAGGAGAAACCTCAGAAAAGGGGCTAACAAACGCAGCTAGAGAAGGGAAAAGTCCCCACTTGCTCTATACTCAAAATACCTTCGACAGATCCCTGAGAGCGCGTAGAGCAGCCACGCAAGCTGCCAAGCGTAGATGACGTTCCAGATGAGGAAAGTCCAGCCAGCCGGGGTGAAGTCAGTGCTGTATTTCTCCGAGATGTTTCCCGGGGTGCTCCGGAAGAGACCTGCAGTGAGGGTGTTACTGCACACCAGGAATGGGGAAAGACTGACAATTTTCTTGCCCTGCAATCCTCCCCTGAGGCTCAGTCCCCACCTCTGGTRCAAGGGAGGGGAGAGGATGCCCTTGTTGAGGCAATCCCTGTGCTGCAATGGGCTTGCCTTTAAAGAGGATTATAGAACCACTGCCCTTTGCAGGGAACCTTGGGCAAGTTCCTATGAGGCAGAACCAGAAGAGCGGGTCACAGGCGAAAGCCCAAGGGTGGCACGAGACACATTCACATCCTTGCAACACCGGGAGGAAGGGCCTGGCTCCTTCTGGCCTTCAAACAGAGGCATTTGGAGAAGTGACAGGCAGCTCATCCAAGGCACCACGATATCATTAAGTGACCTGGCACACGGCAGCCTCCTCTCCAAACAAGGCCCATCTGCCTGCATTACCTTTGAACAGTCCGGTGGCATTGCCAGCATTCAGTATCACCATGACCGTGAACGTAGCCAGAGATAAGAACATCACAAAAATCTTCAGCTTCTTGTGTGTAGAGTCCATTTTATTCTGAAAGAAAACAGAGTTTGGCTCTCAACTTACACCCAAATTATTTCAAGCAAGGTTTGGAACAAGAGCTTCGTAATAAGAAGGAATATAGAATTCTCAGTTTTAGTTGTTGGCTTTCACTGATGATGTTTTGGGGCTTGAGGAGACCCCTTGCCTTTCTGATTGCAGAGGAAACCTTGAAAATGCAATCATCAACACAAAGCAAAAACCCACAAAAGGAAAGCTAAGAATTGCACATGTACATAAGCACAAAAAGGACCTTGCCTGCACTAGGTGGATCTTTGAGCCAGCACCCTCTGACAGGAGCCAGTATCAGCAGCCCAGAGAACTGTCCAAAAACAGGGCAGACAGCTTATTCTTGCAGCAGCTCCACACAGGCACCAAGCAGGTCGTGGAGTGCCTGCTCTGACACCATCCATCCCTTAGCTGCATAGGGCTCAGATTGACCTAGGGAGGGCTTGCAAAGTTTTACATTTCTAAAYAAGCAGCATATAAGAAGGGTTCCAGTTTGGCTAATATCACCGCCGCAGCTACACTGTTCTAGGAGAGAAACATGAAAGTGTTTAAGCCAGGGTTGCAGTTGAGGGCCTCTTAATTCAACATGGTTTTCACATTTACCTTGCTAATCCTCTAGCTCCTGCAAACTAATCCTTCCACGGCAGCATTACCTCCTCACCTACTGGCTGCATATAAAGATTAAATGTTTCAGCAGGGCTCAGAAACTTCAGATTTATTTATTTTGAACAAAAAACCCTACACACTACATTTCTCAGAGTTTGAAAACCATCAATTCAATCTCTCCTAAAGAAACTCCATTAGTTGAATATTTGTTATATTTGGGAAAAGCCCTACACCTCTACATAAGTAGAGGTACAGGCACCCACTTTGCAGGCAAAAGCTTCATTTTGAAGTCTTTCCCCTCAGAACTGAACTCTTGTTTGGGCAGTTGCTCTTCAATTCAAAAACCAAATTGTTCCCAGCTGCTCAGCATTTAACTAATAAATTCCAGTTCCCACTTCAGGGGATCACTGTATAGTTCTGTGCTTTGTTCATGGGTTTAGCTGTGTCCAGATACACCCTAAGGAAGTGGGAGGGAAAATTCCATTTTCTCTTTTGAATTCATGTAAGCCTCTCCTTTTCAGTTCCATCTAAACTGAAAAAATACACACTTGTTTTTGTGAAAATCCTATGAAGAGCTTGTTTAACTCAAGATACCAAATCCTAATTAGATTAGTCGGTAAAATCCCCAAACAAYTTACTGTCCTCAGCAGAGATATGCTGAAGCAGCAAGTTCTTAAAAGAAAGATCCACTAGTACTACTAAAGATGCATTTCTTGGCTCTTCTGCAAGCTGGGAAACAGCAGTACAAGAACTACTGTTATATGCTTGCCCTGTTCTTATATTTTTTCCTTTTAACATCTGCTCTTGGCCACTCCAGGGAAATAAAGGGGGCTAGGTGGTCCTTTGATCTCACCGTCTGGAGAGATCTGTGCTCTTCAGCGTTCTCTTCAGTGTTCTACTGTGCTCTGTAATTGAATTCAGCATCACTTTTTGTTAGCATATTCAGAAGAGACTTGATTACACAGCATCAGAGAAACACATACTCGCTTGCTGAAACCCAGAAGGCAAGCRTTATTTCAAAACCAGTCAATATTTCTACTACCTGCCTTTCACCTCCCATCTCACCCCAACTTATTGCTGGCAATAAATGCCCACAACATTCCCCCTGCCTGCAGTTCTCAGCCACAAACATCCTTTAAAGAATTAGGAATATTACTCACAGCGATCCTCCCAGCACAGGGGGTTTCAGCAGTGCCTCACAGCCAGAGTGCAGCTCCCAGAGCCGGAGCCTCTGCCGCTCAAACTTATCTAGAGAGATTTTACACAACTTTCAGCAGATTAAGAAYCATGCATTATTAAAAATAATAATAATACATGCAGGAGTTGGATATGCTTTTTTTTTCAGTGGGCTGCAGCTACTGATTGGCTAAAACCTCCTGAAACGAAACACTTATGCAAGAGAAACGTGATTACTCAACGCAGGCATTTTATAACCAGCAGAGCGCTGCACRTTCCCGGCGAGCGCCTGCTTTCCAGCCACGCACTTCCATGCACAGAGCTTCCAGGAGGGGATCCAGCACCCCAGGCAGAACCGCAGACAGAAACCGTGGTGGTTTTATTCACCAACACAGAAAAGGCTGCTTGAAACTGTGGGGAACACAAGTCCTCCGATGCACTCATGCCCGCACCACTCACAGCTTTTATATTTCTGTGTTGTTTTCCTCAAATGTGAGTTGTTTTAGCCAAGTCCCAGCGCTCTTCAGCGCTGACGTCCTCAGTCTTTTGTGCAACCCACGGCGGGGGCCTCTGAACTGAACAGCTACAGGGCAAGGCACGTGGGCCCAGGGCCAAACAACAGCAGAGAACAAAGAAATGCCCGGGACTCAAATCCAGGCTTCCGGTTAAACCCTGAAGCACGGAGCTGGGAATGACTCCTCTGCATCCTGCCCTGGGATGGGGACAGCCTGTCCGGGTGTGGGTCTGCCTGGCATCAGCCACGGGAAGGAAGGGGCACCCAGCCAGACCCGCTCTTGCTGCCTAGTACCAGTGTGGGCCTGGGTCTGTCTCCACCACCTACAAGGCTCCTTTTCCCCMGCCAGGCCAGTCCTTAGGACCCACTTCTACTTTCATTATTTTAGCTCCGATAGTTCAAGCCACCTGGATATGACATCAGATACTACATTTTCATCCAGTGAATGGGCATGTCAGAATTCTCCACTTCTAACATTCACCTTGACTTTACCCATGCCTGCTAAGTGCTGCTGATTAGACAGCAACAAGCCAGCTCCACGCTGATATAAACCCAGGCAAGCTCTGGAGAAGAACGGATGGTCAGAGAAGAGGTGGGAAAGCACTTGCATGCCCCTCACCCAAGTAATGCTCATGGCAAAAGGCCCATCTTGAAAGCGCATGGTCAGCAGCAATGCAGAGGGAAGTCACTAGAAGCAAGCCCATGTCCAGGACTCACCAAGGCACACAGCTCCAAGGCAAGCACACGTGTGGCCCAGATTATGTTAGAGGAAAGCAGATGCCAGCTAAAAATTATTTTACCATCCTGGCATCTGTCCTACCAAAAGGAGAACCACACACATACTCCCTTGCGTTACCAAAACGCTTCAGTGAAGGGTCYAGCCTATGATGCTTAGTTCTGCCTGTTAAAGTCCTTTATCTACCATAAAGCTGCTGCCCCGTTGACAAGAGGATCTTTTTAAAAAGACACGTTCCTCCACGGGCACATGCTTTCCTTAGCACTAAGCTCCATAAAGCAGGGCAGAAAAGCCATTTAATGAGCATTTTCCCTCATCAAGGAAAACAGCCAGGAAGGCAGATGCTCTGCAGCACTTTCCTTCCCATGAGCAGGGATAGCAAGAGCCTAAAAGGTGCTCTGACCTCTTCCAGTTTCATCTCCCCTACTGCTCGTGTTAAATGCAGAGCGTCCTAAGGCGCCAGGGCAGCGGGAAGCCTCACTGCAAATYGCTCTCAGGACGAGTCCAGCAAACGCCAAGACCCGAGCACACTAATCGCTTAACAACTGCTCAGGCACCCTAATCCTGCAGCGGATTAATCCGGGTGCTGTCGGTGCCAGGGATCAGCCTGTGTGCGCTGCRAGATGGGATGGGATTTGCGGGGATGCCCTAGGATGGGTCTGCAGTGAAGAGGATCCACGGGGGTATTTTAGGATGGAAAATCATCTGCTTTGTGTTGCTGCAGAACAGAATGGATCCACCCATTGGYAACAAGCAATCTCCATAGGTTTGAGGGAACAAGGAGAGCCAGAGCAGCCCACCACACACGTACTGCAGCAGTCCTTAAGGCAGCTGCCATGCCCAAAGTCATCAGATCAGCATCAAATCACTTAGTTGAAGCCCGGGTTAAGCATGTTGTGGCAAACATTTAAGTAACTTAAAAGCCCCCACATCCCTCCCCTTGCTGCAAGGGGAAGGCCAGCAMGAGCGCCTTGCTGCTGCCACACCAGATCACACCCATTTTCCATGTGTTTTCCCCAGATGTTTTCACTTACTGGTTCRCCACTGGYGMAATTACCTGTGTCACAGTCAAGACTACCTATTTCAGAAAGTCTTACGTGCAGCTCCAGCGGCCCAATTTTCCTTACAGCCTTTTTGTGGTAATTCACACTCAGACTGAACAGTGTCTCCTGTARTTGTCTGCATTTCTACCATCCAGGCACAGGCTCCCCTGAGCTGGACATCCAGACAATGAGGAGCACATCACCAACACTTTGCTTGAAGTAGCTTTCCTATAAGAGGGCAGCATGACGCTTAAGTAAACAACTTCAATTTGCAGGAGCTGAGTGCCTGATTTTGATATTATTATTCTTTAATATAGTATTTTGCTATCTAATTATCTTTTTTTTTTTAATGCAATATTAATATATATATTTGCACACCATCACATGGTAATATATCRCCTCCCACGTGAATCATTAGCAGAACTGGAACATTCCGTTCCACCACTGTAGGAAATTAGTCTTAACAAAACTCAATGCAAGACCTTATGGCTGGGGAAGATGCTTATATATTTATTTTAAAGAGTCTCCAATAAGTTCGTTCTCCCCACCCACTCTCCCAGCAGCATCCTCACAGGGACCAAGCTGAGTGCATCCCAAAGGTCTGGCCAGGGTCACTTGTGTGCATCCCAACACCCATAAGATAAGATAAGACCACCATGAGCTCCCATATCTCTTGGATTCCTCCTGGCTGGTGGCTACAAGCTGATTTTTTGGATATCCCCAGAACAGAGGGCACTGGCATCTTGTGCCTCCTTGTCTTGCCTTAATCCCCACAGAGTTTCAGGTAAGTTAATCAAGAATCTTGTTGTCCTTGTCTGGTTGTCTCATGGCTCCAGGATTGTTTGTCATCATCTTAACTCATCTCTAGGGTTTGGGTTTGTTTTTTGTCCCTTGTTACTTGGTCATTTGACTGCAATATTCTGCAGTAATTAATGTGGGCCGTTGCTTTAACCCCCAACCTGCTGTTTGCACCTATGCATTTCTGTTCATAGCAATCCTATGATTCCCTGTTTTTTCACCAAGGCAAGAAAGAGCATCTCCCTTGCTCCTGGTTGATCCAGACACAGGCAAGCATTGGAACAGTCAAGCAGCTACTCCACTCAGATGTATGGCAAAGCACCAGTTTCTCCCCCAAGCTTTACCAAAAGCACGAGACCTTTCATGCCACAGCCTTCCAGAAAAGGCAAAAACCCTAATCCAGAGACAAACAAGGAGAATAGCAGCCACAAGGAAAACCACAACCCAAGAAAGACGACTAAATGTGGAAAGGGAACACTGGGCAGCCAGAAATACAAACACTGTTGTAGCTTTGCTTACAGTAAGTGTATTTTAATCAGTGAAGACATATGGTGCACCCACATATCTTTCCATACCCTCATTCAGCCTCAAGATTCAGCATCCAGAAAGGACAGCAGAGATGAGTACTTCTTTGGAGAACCCTAGTAGCACATCAGTGACTGAACCCAGAGTCTCAGAAGAAAATCCCAGCACTGCACCCATTGGGAAGGCAGCATCAACCCCCCAACATCAGCCTCTTGCCATATTTTCCCCTGAGGACCAGGATCTACARTCACCTAGTCCAAATATCCTTCAGAGTTATCAGTATTGCCGCCCCAGCTACATCTTCAAAGCCTGCCCTTCCTCCTCTTCTTCCTACCAATTCGTTTTTAGTGAAAATTATGGTGCTAGCAGTTTTGGCCAGGCCAGGTTATGTTGTTGAGGCTTGTCTACGGCCAAAAACGGAGAACTTGAACGCGAGTTCACCCTGGTGCCCGGGGAATTGGCTGGCCTGCCAGCTCTCTGAACAGCCTGACTACATCCTTCTCTGTTTCATTGCAGCTTCCCAATGTCTGCTGGCTGCGAACACAGAGGGCTTTGGTGGCCTTACAGTGAAAGGCACATTCCTGGCTTGGCACGTAGGTCATACACAACCCATAACACAAGGGGTTGAATGGTTGCTCAGGCACCCAAACACCTGTCATCAGCGTTAGAAGCTGGGCCTGTCACACTCACTTAGGGATACGTGACTTATTTTTCAAGTCTTTTGAAACGAGAGTCGCAGCCTACTGCCCTGTACAGGATCTCTGCTGCCACGTATGCTCTTCATTTGGACACACTGAAAGATTATTAGTGCAGAACAGGTTATTTATAGGCTATGTAATCCAGCCGTGTACTGCGTGGCCCTGCAAAGCTCCTGTGCAAACACACCAGCAGATAAAGGCTGCTCTGGACAGCGACCAAGAGGGGACTGGGAAGCAAGGTGAGTTCGAGTTGGAAGCAGCAATGGAAACATTTGCAAGGAGCGCAGGTGCTTTCGCTGCKAGACCTTATCTAGAAAGCAAGGGGAAATTAGCACTTTCTATCTTTACAACTAAGAAAAGAGCAAAGCCATTAGTAGTGTTTTGGTTTTGAGCAGAATAAAACAGCACACTCCTGACATGCAAAAAGCATTTGCTTCCTTAGGTGGATCAGAACCACTGCAGGAGCTCTCGCATTTGCTTTCCAGCCTGCCACATTTACCCTCTGCAGCAAGAACGGTCCAGAACTACCCAGCACAGTAACGAGGCAGAGCACTAACACCTAGAGCCATCATTTGTTATAATTACAGGGCTCTCTGCCATGCCTGGGTCACATTACACCAACAGAGGCTATAAATCACCCCTCATTTATTCTTCATAAAAAGGGAGCTTGCCCAATTGGGGAGAACTGTTGGGCCAAAGAAACTCTCTCAAGCCACATGAGCATCTTTCAAGAACCCACCTCACCTCCCTGGGCCTGC